GCGTCAGTAGCAGACAAAAACATGTTTCCACAGTAAATTGATCCATTTCTGACTGTGGCCAGGGTCTTGGGATATAACACGGTCTCCTCTCAATCCTGATTCTTAATCCACTCTAACTGTAGGTTATCACTAAATGCAACACCACAGCAGTCTCCCACTCCCACCCAATGAGATGTCCTTACAGCACAACCCGAGTAATATCTAGGGCTGTGGAACCACACTGCAAACAGGATTAGCCCTCATCAATCTGACAAAGCCAGTCCTTTTTATGTAGAGTTAATTTTTGTAACATGGCGACAGACTGATTACCGAACCTCATGCAGGTAGTGAGAACATACAGCCCAAAGGAGCAAAGGACAGAAAAAGAGTGAGACACTGAAACACAATCCTCTTTTAAGAGCACAACCTAAGGAAACCAATGCAACATATTCCCAAGAACTGTAAAATCACCTCAAAATTCTTCCACTGAAGAACATTATAGTCTGGCAAATGCTACAGTAAGGCTAACCTAAAAACCAATTAGCAGGACACCGGCCTCCTGGATTATGGGATCTCATTCCTTGAATCCAGAAGAGCCTCAGAGACACTGAAGTAATTCCAAGTCCACTAATATCCACTATGAAAGTAAAACAAATCAAAAATACAGAATTATGGCACAGGTAGATCTTAATGGTATAAAGAATAATGTACACTTGTACGGAAAACCCAGAGCTCTCTATTCTTTACTTTCACGTTGTTTAGAATTCAATAATGGCATAAAAGTGGAAAAAGAGGGCCATGTAAATTTTAGTAACTGAAAAGCTAGAAGTTGTTATATTAGATAGTAATAGGTGGGGGTGTTTGCTTTTAATTCCATGTGGGTGGTCAAATGCTGGAACGGGGTGCCAGAGAGGCTTTGGAAACTGCATCCTTCAAGGTGTTCAAGAATCAGGCAGACGTATCTCTGAGCCACGATCTGAGTACACTTAATTTGAGCATGGGATTGGACTATATCATCTCTGGAGGCTGTTTCTAATCTAAATTATCCTACTTTTTTTTTTTTTTTTTTTTTTTTATTATGAATGTCGAATCACTGCGTATCTTTACCAAGCTCCATGACTTCATCTTAAGAAAGAGATTTAAGGGTGCTTACCTCCCCCCCCACAAAAAGTGGAATTGCGTTTTTTTTTCTAAGACAGCTAAGTAAATCAACCTATTCCAGAAAACATAAATTTCCCTGGAATAATGTATTATTGCTAAACAATTTTTGAAATACATGTTTTTAAAAAACACACGTATAATATGAACATAACATAAAACCAGGGGTTTTTTTAATATATTTTTATTTTTTTATATTTTTACTTGTTTAAGGATATATTAACAAAGTTACAAAATATCCTACTGACATAAATTTGTATGTCCACAATACTTACTAGTAAAGCTGAATGAACAACTGGAGGGTTGGGATGGTCCAAAAACAGAATAAGACCTGGCAGGCATCCTTGATCCTGAACAATGGCCCGTCTGTTCAGTGGGTCAGCCGCTAGATCTCGAAGCTGGTTAACTACAGATAGCGCATCAGGCTCCTCACTCATAGTAGAATTCATTTTTTCTGCACCATGCATATAAAACACCTGCTGGGGGGAAAAAAAAAAAAAAATCTACATTACTAATACCACAACATTTACGATCAATTAAAACACAGATAAGACAAAAGCAGAAAGGAACTGATTGTTATAAGCATAAAAGTATAAAAAAGCAAGGGCTAGAATTCATGGAATGTGGATCTTGAAATTTATAAATTGGAAATCTAAACTTCCTACAAAGAGAACAGGTAGGTTTGGTTAATAATATTTTGTTTCTGATATATAATTTTAGACCAGTCAGCCTCTATGGGAGTATGTATGTTTGTGTTGGTCTTTTTGCACTATTGATAAATATTTCTGAGAAATCCAGTTTTCTCACAACAAGGCACCCTAGAAGCCTATAAACATCCTTCTGTACAAAAACATGTAAAATCAAAATATTTTCAGAGTACCTTTAGCAATAATCAAGTTTTACATAAAAATGAACCAGAAAAGCCAGCAAAAGACTAACACTGCATCAAGAACAGTGAACGTTACGTTTTAATCTGGATCTATATTTCAAATAACTAGTTTAGTGCCATACTCTTTCAAAGGCAAAAAGGTTTTGAAGGCTGAGTTTTGGGGGTGTTTTTTCCCCCTTTTCACTAGTACCCTCTCAATAAAAAGAAAGCAGGTCACACCTTGCTCCAGTTGGAGTCCAAGCCACCCTATCAATTTCAAAGGAGACACGTGTTAGCTTGAGAGTATCAGATTCCAGAGCTGTTTAATAAGGAGTAACTATTTAACAGGCAACAAGTGCATAAGTTTAGTCAGAGAAAATGCTACATCTTGGTGCAAAAACTAGTTTCTTTCAAAAGACTGATTACGTGCCTCAAACTGCTAAATGCTAACTGTGGTCCTGGTGTTGCCAGGTACCACAGTTGTGGTACTCACACCTTCTTAAGGCACAAAAAGTGTGAGTAAATATGTACTGTTAATTTGTGTTCTCTCATTTTTCCTCTGCATAAAAACAGAACAAATTAAATTTCTAAGTGGTCACATTCTTTTAACATAATTTCCCAAGCAAAAAATACTGTACAAACATATTGTTTTCTTACTGAAGGTAGGCCTTTCAGCAACACAAATTTATCATACTCATCACAAAGAACAAACCACAAACATGCACTGGGGTTACCAGACTTTCTGACATTTTCACATGGAAATAATGCTGTTAATCTCTAAGTCACTGGTCCTTCCTTCAGGAAAGGGAGTGCTAACGTGAAAAGTACATGGCAATGATTATACAGTAGGCTATTTTTCTTGACTATCACAAGTCCAAAAGAGATCAACTGAGAGATACAACAGCTCAATCAATAAATGGTAATTCGTAATTTCAAAACAGCCAACTCTAAATTAAAAAAAAAAAAAAAAATCTCTGTTAAGTATTATTAGTTACTTTTCATAGCTGGCAGAGGAACTTACTGAAAACTTAAAAAATCGAGTCAGTTGTGGAGCTGATGCCAACCAAAGCCTCTGACTTCCAGTTCTGCTTTCCAAGCACCAGATCATTCCTACAACTCTCCATACTGATCACCTTTTGCCTTTTTCCTTCTGACCTTCTGAAAAAGCACGGAGCCAAATGTAACCCACCTCCTGTCCCATTAGGCCACCCTCAAGGCCTTCCCAGGCCCTTTCTCCCTCTCACCTCAGCCACAACTGAGCAGACAACTGAAGTCCGTACCTCCTCCATCACCTACAACAACCAATTTTATGAAACCTAGGACCCACGGCATTTGTTTTAACGAAGAAGCAATTAAGTTTTAAAAGTTTTAAGAAGCTATCTGGAATTTAGGAGCCTAGCAGAGAAGTTAGGCAGGTACTGGCTCTTTTCTCCCCCTTGCAGCTTTGCGATCATGGCTTGACAGAAGCAGAGATCCTCTGTCACTCTCCCCTCCCGCCCCGTGTCCCCCCCGGCGAGGCCCAGGCAAGGAGCGGCCGCAGGCTCCCACCGCCGCCCTCACGCTGAGCGGAGCCGAACGCCCGGCCGCGACAAGGCCCCGGGGCTCAGCTCCCGGGCCTCTCGCCCGGCGGAGGCACAAACCCTCCAGCGACCGGCTGGCGGGAGCTCCGGGACGCGGCCGGGGGGAGCAGGAGGGAACCTGAGCCGGCCTCGCCGCGGCCATCCCGCCCCCCGCAACCCGGCGCAGCCTCTTCCTCTCCCCGACCCACGTACCGTAGCAAAAGACGTCCCCGGCCGAGCAGCTCAGCCCCGTGCCCCCATGGCCTGCGGCGGGAGAAGGGAGCGCGGAAGGTGGTGGCGGCGGCGGGGCCGGCCGCGCGCTCGCGCGCGCACACACACACTCCCACCCCGCCCGCCTAGGCCCGCTCTGACCCCGGCACCCCGCCGCCACCCCGTGTTCTGATTGGCGGAGACCCGCCCGCGCGTCTCCGCCACTCGTGGCGCGCTTTGTTCCTGACGGGGCGCGATTGGTTGCCTGGGAGGGGGAGGTGCCGCTCTGCGTGCCGGGAGTTGTAGTTCGGAGGGGGGGGGAAGGAGCAGCAGCACCGTGCCGGGGAGGAAACACGGCCCTTCAGTTCTTTTTTTTTTTTTTCTTAACAACTTTCCTTCCATAGATGGCCACTACCAGAACTTGATTTTACTGCTGAAAGCGTAAATCGTACTGTGAAATTACCTAGCGTGACCCACGCCCGCTGCTGCGTGGAGCCACGGCGCCTACCGCCCTTTTGAAACCCGAGGCGGGTAGCCCCACCCCATCCCGTCAGGCCCGGGCAGCCTGATTTATTTTAATTAAGCGGATCTTAATCCTGTTCGGAGGTTCTGACTTCTCCCCTTCCCATCCCTCGCCCCCACTGACGACAGTTGACCCTCCGCAGCGTTTTGAACCGTCGGGCGCAGTTTTCAGTCAAGCGCCGGGGCCCCGCCTGATTGGAGGGCGGGAGCAGTCACGTGCCCCCCGAGGCTCACGATGGGCGGGGCGATTCCCCCACCCCGACCCCTCCGGGCCCGGTGGCTGCCGGGTAGGTCGCCGCGCCGCAGCCTTGCGGAGGGCGCTGGAGGTCCCGCCTTCCGCAGGAGCGGCGGCTATTGGTCGGGGCGGTGCCGGCGGCGGCAGTGGATTGGCTGCCGGGGAGGGGTGGGCGAGCCGCGGTGCAAGGAGCGGGTGAGGGAGCGCGGAGGCGGCGGCGGGTGAGGGGCGGCGGGGTGGGTGGCGGTTTTCTTCCTCGGCGCGACCCTCGCGTCTCTCCTTCCTCCTGGGCAGCTCTTCTCGTCGCCTGGGTGGGGGAGCGCCACCCGGGACGCCGCGGGGCCGCTGCCGGGCTGGGCAGCTCAGCGCTCGCTCCGCTCTTCCGGGGCTCCCTCGGATGGGGAGGGGCGTTGAGGGGGGGTGCCCTGCTGTGGGGGGGGGGGTCTCTGCCCTCAGGAGCCGCCGGGTCGGGGCCTGCGGGAAGCAGGGGCCGCCGCTTGGCTGGACGTGGGTCCAGGCCGCTCCTGGCTGCTCTCCCCGAGCAGGGCGGCGGGAAGGAGCCGCCGCCTCCAGCAGCGAGCGAGGCAGCGCCGGGGACCCAGGGCGGGCCGCGGCCTTGGGAAGGCGCCGTGCTTTGCGGCGCCTTTGCGGAGGAGCAGAGCGGCGTGGAAACGGCTCGGGGTGTTGGGGTCGAAGCTGCCGCCTTCTGTAGGCGAGCTGACCGAAACGGAAACCCTCTTACGTTGCTGTGACGGGAGTGACAGGTCACGGGGAATCATGCAAATACAAGATAGTCTGGAGAAGTTTGAGGGAAGTTTTTCAAGGAGGAGGCTTTAAAATAAGTAGCATTTGGAGGGGAAAGGAGCCCAGTCTTAAGGGGTCTGGTGCTTCTTTTCTGTAAACTTATGATGCATAGTTTGTATACTTTTAGTGATACTGCTGCTGTGCTCGGATTGTTCTGCGATTGTCATAAGTAAATTGCTAGATGCTTGTTTTTAGTTTGTTTAGCAAGCTGTCGAAAATCCAGATACTGAGTGTGAGTGGAGTTTGAGTGCTTGACATCAACTGTAGTGCATTGATCTCTGATAGTGTAGGCAAGACTTCATTAATATTTACATGCTGTCCTCAGACAGCCATTGTCCTCTGTAGCTCTTGTGAAGACAAGTCTTACAAAGACTAGATGAAAAGGAAATAATTCTGTCTTCTGATACCCACTGCTCTTTACCTAGGTGATAAAGAAAAAAGAAAGGAGCTGAGTTTTCTGCACATCAGCTCTAAAAGTTCCAGCTAGCTGTCAGTGAGTCAAAAAAATTTTCTTCATAGAGATCACTAGCTGAAATACAATTGCTGTGTGAAGGAACTCAGCATTGTTACAGAGAGAGATTTGCGGGGGGAAATTGAACATTTTAAATGCTTCTTCAGACAAATATACCCTTTTGTTAATAAAATTTGCATGCTCTTGTTTCTCAAAGATGAGGTGGAAGGGCTGGCATTCATGGCAGTGACTAGGGAGGTCTGTATGTCTGGCAGGAAACAGTAGGTGTATGGTTATGTCTGTATAGTATAACACCATGTGCTTTAGAGATGTTGAAGGATTTCACTTACCTCTCCACAATATCATGTTGCACTGTGTAGGTATAATCTCTGAGCAAAAGCTTTTGACTAAACTAGTGTTGAAACATTGATTTTATTTATTTATTTATTTATTTATTGTTCTATATCGTTAGTTGGCAAGATATGGTAACATGGGTAAGATGTGATGAATATGGTTTTACAATTTGAGGTATATACGATTGGGCTATATTTTTAAGAAAGCTTTAGCAAGTTCTATTCCAAGTATGTATTATTTTCAATTCTTGCTTTAGATTTCATGCTGATATTAGCTTAGATATCCCCTTGATTGTCTCTGTAGTACTCACTGATTTTTATCTCTCTTTGCGTATCTTTCCAAACAGGTGTTTCTGAAAGTAATAAGGCACTTCATTATTTGTGACTTCCAAGCCGAAAAATAGACCTCTGTATTTTGCTGTGTGATCTTTGCCAAATACTTACACTGCTTATAACTGGTCTGTGTCAGTTTGGGGGAGGGCCTAGGCCTTTATCAGGAGATTCTTCCTGCCTGTCATAATTTATTGTTGGCTTTATCTTTCCTTATTACTTCTTGAATGCGTTGCCTTATGAATATAATTTCATGAGATGAGCTTGGGTCATGCATCAGCCTTAAAGACTGTGAAGATATGCATGCCCTAGTTTCCTGCTAAAATAAGGAGGAACCTGCCCTTTTTTCATGATTTTTGATGTGGTTGGTATTCCTCTGAAACCATGCTTCTTTGAAAATTTTGTGCTTTTATCTTATACATACCCTTTCAATTTAGAGACTAGACCTTTCATTTTTTAGATTTCATGCGTCTGTTTATTCATTGTTAAGGCTGATCTGCTGCATCAAGCCCATTAAGTCATTCTCTTTTCTTTTTGTGTGGATCTTATGTGAATGAGAAAAATTTCCTTCAGTGAGAAAAATATGAATACGGTATTTCTTTTTAAGAGCGAGAACGCAGAATTTGAAAGGGACTTGGACAAATACAACATTGGAAAGTACACACAGAACAATTTCAATTTGAAAGCAGTTGCATCTGATTTTTCTTTCTTTTCATCTTTCATGTGTAGGACTCACTAGAAAGCCTGGCAAAGGGCTCCATTTCATATTTACTGAGTGGTATTCCATATGTGTATAGCCACCAGAGCCTTTATTTAATGAACCTTTTGTAATTTATAAGTAGTATTATCTCTCAGCTTTGTAGACTAATATTTGATATGATAGTATGGAGTGAAACCTGCAAAAGTGGTTGGGTAAAGTAGGGGCAAAAGAAAGTTCAAGGAGGCTAAAGTGAGAATCCTGGCACTCAGAAATTCAGACCTCCTCATTTCTGAACCAAGGAATTGCTGCATGTTGCCATATCAGAAAGAAAGTTCTTCAGCATTGCTAATTTCTGTGTAAGTAGAGTTTTATAAATGAAGAGGAACCCATGACATTCCAACCCCCACATGCTTTAGGCAGAGAAATGTAGTTCTTTGTGTTAGTACTCTCCTAACCTCTTCTGGTAATCTTGCCTATGACTGCTGCTTATCGTTGTAATAGTTTTCCTTAAGCACAGCAAAAGGGCCATGTTTTATAGCAATATTATTATAACTCGGGGCATTTTATTGTAGTAACAGTTGTGGAAATTTGGGGGGAATTAAACTACTACTATTTTTAGTTTAGGTAGAGTAAAGAAGATAGAGGATAAATAGAACAAACATCAGTATTTTAGAAGAGGTATTATTCTGGCTTGCTAAAAGCAATAAACATACAACTCCTGCTTCTGAAGTTGGCATGTATACAGAGCATGAGACAAAAATTTGCTAATGTTTTCATTCTTGCTGTCCAGCAGTTTCTTTTGGAATGAACCCTTTCTGTTCTTGGCACATGAAATAATTGTGAAATAACTGAGATGTATGAAGAAAGGTATAGTGCAATATAGTCTGGAAGAAATGAGCATGAAGTTTGTCTGGGCATAGTTTTGTCAAACTAATAGATCGGATAAAAATATCAAGCTGATATACTTAAAAGCATTTTCCTTTCAGATCTTTTTTTAGATAACAAATTAGCTGGAGGTTGTTAAAACATGGTGGTTTTCCATAGTGCGAGGAACTAAGGAAACTAATGCAGGAGCTGTTGGTACTCTGCACTCTTACAGATTGACTTCGGTCGCTTTCTTCTGCTAAAGCAGGGAACAGGTCGTTGGTAAGAGCAAGGAATTGATGACCCCAGTCTTAAGTTCTTTTAGTATTTAGACTACGGACAAAACAATGATTTATAATGTGAACTATAAATGATCATTTTTCTGAAATAGTTGTGTTGTTTTATGCTTGGTCATCAAAGTCTTGGAACTCGGAATTACAAAAGGTCACCAAAATGTTTTAGGACAGGATAAATATTGTGGACTGTTCCCAGTGTTTTGTGTCATCATGCTGCTGCTTTTATTCCCGTGTCTTTTGGATCTCACTGAACAAGTTTCTAAAACAATCACTAATATTTCAGAAATTCCTTTGGCTAATTTTCGAGCTGTTCGAGGTGAATTTCAGTAGACGCTGTTGTCCTGGAGGCTTATAACTTTTCAGAGTTGTCTATAACCCATTCTAACATCTGTCTCTGTCTTTTCTACCATCTTCAAGTAAAAACAGAATATACTGACTATCACTCATTGCTTTCTGTCCTCTTACATCGTGGCTCTATCACTTGTCTCCTGCTTACTCCCAATACATGTGTAGGGTTTTTTTTTCTTATGCCACCAAGCTATTTTGTACCTTAGCCTTTTTTAAACTTACTACTTCATATTTATACTACTCTGTCATCCTAATATTATGCTACTTTTTTCCTGCATCTGCTTTTGTGCCTTTAATTGGTTATCTTGACAGGTTTTGTGTCATTCCTTTACCTCTTTGCCTCTCAGTTTCTTGAGATCATGGAGACTTTCTAGACCTGCTCTGATTTCCTCAGAAGTTCTAGCGTTATCTTTTCGCTTCTGTTCAAATTGTCTCTGTTATTAGAGACTCGGTCCTCCCAGAAACAAAATAATTCCTTTTCTTCACTTCCTGAAACAAAAGGTGGCTCTGACTACATCTGAGGATTTTTAAACTAATGACCTGGCTATCTGTTGAAAGAGCAGTGTATCAGGATACAGTCATCCCTTTATGGTCCTATCACTTGCCTCTCTACCAGCCAGCCCCCTCCTTGTAATCGCTCAGCAATATGTTCTCTACCTCTTTTTCTCTTTTCTTTGAATGTCTTGACGCAGCTTCCGTTTTTCTTCTCTTTGATTTCCACACTACATGTTCAACAAATCTGAACTTTGGAATGAGGCGGATTGCATCACGTGTACCGCACTTTTGGAACAGGTTTCCTCTTTTAAAGGAGCATTCCTGTCTCTCTTATGTCAGTGCATGTCTGCAGTGCCAGAAATGATGCCAAATCTGATATGGGGCATGTAGAAAGACTTGTATTCTTCCTGGTTTTTCAAACACAGCAGGTGCAATGTGATCAAAGATCCATACAGTCCATACGGTAGCTTGTCTCAGGGAAGAATAACAGATGCCTAAAGGAAGAAGAGATCAAGTAGATGGTAGTGCTTCCCTAATAGACTTTTCCAGCTTTCCATAAAGAAGTCCATGACTGACTGATTTATTATGTAAGACTGTAGCTTATGTTCATGGCTGTTTGGTAGGTAGCCCATTATTCTTCCCTGCTGTTTTTCTTATAACAATTGCAGTTTCCATTCTCATCTCATGGTGATTGGTTCAGGTTTTTTTTTTGATAACTTTTTTTATCTTACATTTTCATTAGACATCCCGTAGCTGATAGATTAGTAGTTTCTTCCTAGTTTTTTCAGAATCAAGAAAATCCTGTTCGGAAATATATTTTACTTTCTGTGGTGATAAGAAACTAATATCAACTTTTTTTTTTTTTTTTTTAAAGCCTGTCTAAAAAAAGATAACTGTAGAGTTGCACTGTTCCTGCCAAGTTTCCAGGAGAAGCAGGTGATTACTAAGGAACTGTAAACTGTTTAAAAAAAAAAAAAAAAAAAGAAAAAACAAAAAAAAAGAAAACCAAAAACCAAACAAACAAAAAAACCCCAACATTTTTAATGGAAGCAGTGATAGTTTAACTGTAATTCTTGTGGGCACTTTCAAACAGCATAGCTTTTCCACCTCGTGACTTTCAAACTCCCCAGGTACCAGTTCCTTGCTGCTACATTGCTTTAGTCATCACTGTGTGTATATATATATAGTGGCTTCAATAACACTGTTGTTCATGCTACAAATATGTTGCTCAGGGTGGTTCAACAGAGTGTTGTTTCTAGCCTGGTACACAAAACAAACGTAAACCTACATCTATGGCTTCCGTTTTGTTGGTGGTGGCATATACTTCTCAGTGGAGTCCAAGTTATGACTGGTGTGGAACACAGTTCAAGAAAAACTACACCATTTTCACCAGAGAAGCGATAAAAACATCTTGATTGAAGTGAATGGTAGCGCATATAAATAGACAGACTTTGATATCTGTCCAACTTTATAAATCACTTGAATGTTTCCAGGCCCAACATCTATGCTATTTCCTGTCATTTTCTTGCCTTAGTCATTTTTCTGTGTTTCCTTCCTGTCCTCAGTTGTGGGAAAAAGGGAGGGAACAGAGAATGTGGGTGAAGAGAGGGGGTCGTCTTCGTGTCGTTTGTTCCTGCACAGAAATGAGGTTTAGGTAGGAGTACGGCCCTTCAATCTTAGTGCTAGTCCCCATCTGCAGGCATTGCGTAGTGTTCGGTTCTCACTTAGGGTTGTTGAAAATCATCATCTGTCCAAGCTCAAGTGAGCAATCATTTCCCCAGCTTTTTAATCATTAACTTCGCCAACAGCTTTGATTTCTTAGAAATGACACTAATAAAAAAATCTTTGTCACCTGCATTAAGTAAATGCCTTCTGATACCTATGCTTTACAGTACTAGGAATTGTCGCCACCTAACATGGCTTGTTTTCAGTAACTGTTTCTAAATCTTGTTTTCTTAGGAATGCATGTAGCAGTTTACTTCTGTATATGTAGCACAACATGCATCTAGAATTCTGTTGTTTCTTGTTTCAGAAGTACTATGGAACCTCTGCAGCCCTGTGGATTTGGAAGGGTTAAGTTCAAGTTTGGAAAGGCTTTTTCCATTCCAGATGATTTGCTGGCTTAAGCGCTTAATTAGGATGGCTTTTGAACAAGTTGGATTCAGCATGGAATCAGTAAGTGTTTCAAACATGCTTTATGTTTTCAGAAAGTCAGGTGTAGAAAGCACTTAATATATTTTAGTTTGTACTTGCCTATTCCAGCAGAACACTTTTAAGTATATTCAATACTGGTACGATTCTGTATTGCTGAAAAAGTATGAAGCTGTTTACTACTTGGACACTGAAGTGTTGAGTAATATATGTGTTAAAAGTACCACGCAGTTCCTTCTAGTCTAATAACAAACTGTTTACTTTGTAAGCACTGCTTTTCATGCTGGACTTCTATGTGTGTTTTGAAGTTGAAGGAAAATTTTCAACTGATTTTTAACAGAGATGCTAATTCTTGAATAAATTTATTTGCTCTTACCTTGAAGATACGAAAAGCCCCATGAAACTGAGATGATGATAACTGTGCTATATTTACTCCTCCTGAAAGTCTTGCAGTAAAGGAGAGCAACATGGCTGTGTTCTTCACTGGGGAAACAGAGAAACGTGCAAGGATAGCCCTCCTCTTGGAGGAAAGTGCACATAGACTTTTCTTAGACAGCTTAGCAGGGAGTGATCAATCTGCTATGCATCAACTGCTTTGTCACTTGGACCTTTAGGAAGCTATTTTGAGTACAAGTATTAGTTTCAATGCAGTAATCCCTGTAAACTGTCAAAACATTTTAATGTTTTAACAATGGGGAAAGCCTTAACAGCTATGCACAGTAGTTAGAAGGGCAGTTCTCTACTGTGGCTTATTTTGGTAAAACCTTTTATCAATCTTGGGAATCTTTGGAGAGAAAAATGTTTATACATTATAAATGAAAATTACCAATAAGAATCTGTATTTTAGGATTTTATTCAAATTTTGCTCTGAGATTTCATGCAGTGTAACTCTGAATATTCAAAGTATGAGAATATGCTGGACTACCATGGATGTTGCTGTGGTTGTTGTCGGCTACATCTTTCAGCCTAAGTGTGTGTGGGGGGAACAAGTTTTCAACCTATTTCCGCCATTCTGTACTTGTATGAAGTTTGTGATAATGCAGTTACATTTCCAAATGTTAGCTGTTTTGGACAACAGAAGAAGACTGATGCAATAAGAGGCTATGACTAAGTAATATGGTGCAGACTTGCTCTGCCAGTGCTTCAAGTCAAGAAGTTGTGTGAACTTGGGTAGAGCAATGCTGAGACTTATTAGCTCAGTTGAGCAGCATGCTGACTTTATTTGCATACCTTGTGGCCCAGCTTGCGTGCAGTTTTCTGAAAATATTGTCCAGGCATATCTTGAATTACCAAAGTTGAGTCATTAAGAGAGTTGGTGCACCACACCACTGTTGTTGAACAACCCCAAGGGGATTTGGTCACCAAATATTTTCGAGGATCTGGGTGCTAGTCAACACCTGGTCTGTGATCTGAGCAATCTCTAAACAAGTTTTGCTGCTTGTTTAAAATGCACTGCACTTGGGTTGGTAATGCAGCATGTAGTCTAGGCTCTTTTGCTGTTGTGGAAGTACTTCTGTAATTAATCCTTTCCTTGACTAGTGTTATTTTTTCCAATGCAGCATCTCTTCGCGGCTATCGCCGACAGTTCTGCTTCTACCATCAGACTCTGTCATGAATAGCGAGGCTGTATTACTGCAGTACTGCTTGTCAGTGACTTTTTCCTGAAGGCTGCTGATCTACCTGCTATTTGCTCAGGCATACGGACAGACAGCAGTGTCGTAGTCACAAATGTGAGGTCTTTGTTTGAGGCATCCAAAGTGCAGAATCAGTAGAGTGCTCAGCCTTGAAAAAAAGATGTGTTCGAATTTAGCATCATATTAAGCAAGAGAATGTATGTTTCATAGAATGGAAAAAATGGGTCTGAGTGGATTAATGACAAAGTTGCAGCTCGGATGTGAGGATCTAGCACAGCGTATGTGCAGGGCCCATTTATTTTGTCAAGATGTATACATTCCAATAAAGCCAGAGGAAAGAAGGATACTTGTTCAGAAATAGGCAAAATGTTTGTGTGAAGTTTCTGAGATAAGATAACCTGGGGATAAATACCACGGAGCATAATTTTGTCTTTTTAATAGAACCTTCAAAATCTAAGAGTAGTACTCTTTGCTTAGTATATCAAAACGTTTTTCAGCTACGTGTTGTGAACCTCCCATGGCTGCACTACACTAATGACGTAGGCAATATTGCTGTGCCAGATGAGGATTGTTTCAGTATTAATCGCCTGGACTTTATCGAAGTTTTCTTTGTTGGGCAACCTTGTAACAGGATGTTGAGTTTGCCTGAAGCTATGACCCTTTAAAAATTAGAGTCTGAGTAGTAAATTTCTATCTACAGCCATAAGTAAACACTAGACAAGTGTTTTAAATTACTGTACAGTGTTCTAATTGTTTACTAACAGCTTACTCTGTGTTATAGTCTTCCCCTTGTTCTTCTTTGTATTGTTTTTGTCAACTTTCCCTGTGCTGAAATCTTTCCTATTTTTCTCTGCTTTCTTGGGGTTTTTTGTTGTTTTTGATTGGTTGGTTGGTTTGGGTTTTGTTCTTCAATTTCTTCTGTTCTTGCACAATTTGTAGTATGCCCCTAGGATTAAAGTCTCATTTTGTTTCATACAACTATGGTAAGTAGTAGAGCAAACATTCCCATCATTAAGTACAACAGAAGAAGGCAAATTCAAACCCTGTTGAAACAACGTAGAAGAAATCTGAATTGCAGTAGAAACTAGAACCAGTTCCAGTGAAGCCAGGTGTGTTGAGGTGCTGTGGGCAATTTTCTTTAGGTGAATGTATATTTATTTTTTTCCTTTTAGGACAAGGTTTCATTCTTAAATATTTATTTCCCCCTTTTACTTTTCTTTGCTCTTTAATTCCACAGTTACATTTTTATGTTTATGCAAGCTGATAGTTAAAGACTGGTAGACACTATTCCTGTGTGAGAAGAGCTCTTAATTCAAAAAGAACAAAAATATTTGGGGAAATGTAGAATTACATACATTTATGGATTTTTCATGATTGAGTGGGTTGTCTTGAAACCCCTTAAAAACAGGTGTCTGATCTGCTGCAGATTCTTTATTGTCTTGAAAATGGATAAATTATGCTTTTGAAGGTGCTTCCAACTCTTGAATCCTTCTGTGTTACCTGATTTATTGCTTTGAATTTAAACCTAATGCAAAGGCTGTCTTGAACTTAAACAGCCATAGATACATTTTAATGACAAAACCAAATTTCGTGCTATTTTGGGTGTACAGTGTAAGGAGTTCACTGATACAAATTTCAGTGTATATATATTCTGTTCTAGCATGAAAGGAATAACTTTGAATTTAATGTATTTTATGTATTTTAAATACATGCATTTTAAATGTATTTAAATACATTGAGTACAAACATAGTATGGATGGATAAGGGAATACTCTTCCAATATGATATAAAAATCAGTTACCTAACAGCTGGCTTCTTTTTCCTTCCCATCTAGGTGCTTTGGTCAAGTAAGCCTTATGGTTCATCTCGAAGTATCGTAAGAAAAATTGGTACTAACCTCTCTCTTATACAGTGTCCAAGAGTTCAGTTTCAGGTAGGTGTTCTCAACAGTTTAGAATACGTGTTTCACTATACTGATAAAGGGATTTGCTCTCGCATCAAAAGATTTTAAGCAAATATGGAGTTCATTGAAGTAAATGTCTAGAGGATTTGTAAAAGCAGAATATGATAAACTGGGCACGTAGGAGAATTAGTTTACTTCAGTTCTTCCCACTTCCAGTTCAGATTTTTTCCAAAAATGGATTCTTCAGCTTCTGTACTTCCTTAAAACCTCAATCCCTACTGCTGTAACGTACATAATGAAACTTGAAACAGGTTTCTTTCCTAAGGAAATTAGAGCTTCTAAAATGAGGCAATACCTTATTAAAAAAAAATATTATTGGGAAAAAAAAAATATTCATAAAAAGGAAAAATGTTTGAAACATTTTTTTCTATAAACAGTACTTATAAGCTAGGCTTAAGGGGCATATAAAGATGAACAGTTACTTAAAAATACTTGGGAAAATAAACTACTTTATCAGAAAGCAAAAAATTAGTAATAAAATGAGCACCCTGTTTGCTTTTGTTTTAAATACAAGGCTAGCACTGTATAAGTGAAGGGGAACATCAGTTCTGTGCAGCTTTCTGACTTGTTTGCTTTTAACTTCAGCTGCATATAGTGGGAGGGTAAAGAGTGAGGGTAAAAGCTTAAAGAGGAGAGAACCCTTGCTTTTTATAACAAGTCTTTCAGGAACAGATGGGGAGATGGAAGCTGTTACACATAATCTCTTCAACTCTCTGTGTGTTAGGGATAGGGGGTGGCTATAGAATTGGAGAAATTTAGTGTTTGAAACTCAAGCTGAGAGAGCAAGGGTGGGGAACCTAAAGATGAATGGTGGGAAACATCACCCACGCTAAGACAAGGTAATTTCCACACAGCTAAGGTTTTCACTGTTTAAATCAATTTCTTTATCCTATTTGAAATGTATGAACAATATTTAGACTTGAAATTATAGTAGTAAAATCAGATTGTTCAGATTACCGTAGAAGCCGTCTTGGTGTGTTAGTAAAAGCCATGCTAACATTTTTTTCTGTCTTAAATAAATACATTGAGAAACTAGGGGAGCAACCTAGTAGCCTGGTGAAGCTTAAAAACTAAACATATACATCGTGGGGGTGGAGATTTGTGTAGGTGAAAAGGCCGACAAAATTACATGCTGGATTCAAACTTTTGGATATATAATTAATAGTAGTTATGCCAGCAATAAGGCTCCATGTGCCTCAGATTGGAAAGGAAGTGAAGTTCTCCTATAATGTGTCTGATTTTCTCTAGTGTAAAGGCCATACAAGGGAAGATGATGCTCATTTGCAGATGGTTAGCCAAATACTGCCTTCTCTTAATATGGTACATAAAAGAAGACATTTCTGTTTATGTTCTTGCAAAGAGCTGTAAGGTACATCTGGGGAATCTGTTCCTGAATATTTTTAGTGTTGAAATAAAAATATGTATATGTCTTCGTCTGAATTCTGTGTTAGAATAAATAAAATATTTGCCTTTTTTTTTTCCCCTCCTAAAGAGACATTCTGTTAGCTTTGCATAGATTTTATGCACACCAAGTATAAACAGTCATCTTCTGTTAGATGAAGGGAAAGGATCCTAAAAATAGAAGTACAGTGGTCAGAGTTGATTGAATTAGAAATATGAATTTCCAAATTGGAGCCTTGAAACACATTAAAATTTATATGATTTATGCAGGCTTTATACTATTTTAATATATAAACTGCCAAACATGTAAAAGTGTGATTCTAACATCTGTTTTTTATGTCTTTGTCTCAGCATTAAGATTCTGTAGTGAAGTTCAATGCCGGTCTCGATTGTTTTTATGCTGTTGAAACTGCCACTTTCCTATAGCTGTCTCTTCCTCTTTCTTTCTTGCCAGCTTTAGCTATGTTATGAAGGGACCATGCACAGAACCTTGCTGTAAGTCACTTTCTTTAAAAACCGAAGCAAACCTTGCTTGCCTCATCTGAGGGTGCATGTATATCATCAGTGTTTCTAACTTGATCCAAGAGCAACAAACTGGCCACAGGTCTTCATTTTTTTTATGATAAATGAATAAGAGATAGTGGAAGAATATCTCTGTTACGTTCATGCTTTCTTCTCTTCTAGAATGATTTTGTTCAACTAGTCTGAAAAAAAGATTTTTTGATTTTAACATCTTGATTTTTTGATTTTAACATCTTGATTTTTTTGATTTTAACATCTTGATTTTTTTGATTTTAACATCTTGATTTTTTTGATTTTAACATCTTGATTTTTTTGATTTTAACCTTTTGATTTTGAGAGGTCTACTGACTTTTTAGTATCTGTATGGATCTTGCCATAGTCGACGTTTAAATTAATCGCTAAATGCTGCTTATGTATTCACTTAGAGGTTGCAGAGCTTAACCTAGATACTCTAAATGGCATGAACAAATGAAAGTGGTTCATATAGTTTTTGCATGTCATATTTTTGAGGTTTATGCGTAGTCTTTAGCAGAAAATAAAGTTAAACTTACTAGTATAGCCCAGGTAGACTTACCAATATAGCCCAGACCTCCAGGACTGTATCTCAAGATAGTATCCTTCAGCTACGGCATCTCTGTTCTAGTCCCATGCCTCTCCTGTTTGTCTGCTGGAAATCTGATAACTCAGTAAAAATCTCCTAAGGAACTGGTGTGCATGTAGCAAACATGAGAAGTTACTGGGCTAATTTGAAAAATCATAGCAACTTTGTCTTACTTGAAGAAGTATTTCCACGTTTAATACCTAACCGTATTGTATTAGTAATTTGAAATTAGAGTTCTTATTCTATCCTCAAACGTATAAAAATATTTGTTCTGCTTTCCACTTCCTGGAGCAAATAAAAAGTAGGGATCCTGCTCTGACATCTTAAGCCATGTTTCCGTAGTGTAGTGGTTATCATGTCTGCCTAGCACACGAAAGGTCCCCGCGTGGAAACACCGGGGAGGCTGGTTCTTTGGGAGTGGGACTCGATGATTCTGTATGGGTCCCTTCCAACTCGAGATATTCTATGACATCAACCAAAACAGTACAGTGTGGGTAGTCTTGTCTTCAGAAATTCGTGCAGTAATGGGTCTGAAATCCAGAGGCACGCACGTGTGTACGTACAGCATGCATGCACACTGAAATAGGCAAAAAAACCTGTGAAGGAATAAACAGGGTGAGCAAACTACATAGTTTGCAGAGAAAGAAAAGTAGACTATTTTCACTGTTTCAATTCAGTTCCTGCCATCCAGTAGAGTCGGGCCTCTGTTTTCAGCTCTCTGTTCTCCATTTCAGGTGCTGTCAGAGCAGTTGCCCAGGTTTTCATCAGCAGAGTTTGGCTGGAAGAATAGAGTAGTCAGTCACAGAGTTATTTAAGCATCATTCTACAGAGAACTGAAGTTTTATGAGATGGGTGTTGGCTTTTAACCTTTAAGTTAAAGTAAAAATCTTGCATTCTCTTGAAATTTGAAATCCACTGCTGTGGGACGGCCTTGTTGTTTTTAGGAATAGAGAAAAGAAACATCTGTATACGGCGTAACAAGCAGATTCTGTTTACATATAAATAGAATAAAAAAGCAAGAAGAAACTTGCATCACAATATAACAGAAGGCTTGCTGCTAAATTTTGGATTAGAAGTTATTTCTCTCACAGTGCAGGAAACCTGGCAGTGGTAAATGCATTCCTTACTGTTGATTTATAAAATTATTTTTGATGCAAGTATGCACAGTGCCTTTATTTAAATGTGGCTTCAGTCTTTTCACGGTAATAGTTCCTCTTGTGTCCATTACAGTCAGGAAAATCTGTCACCTGCAAGAAGTGGCTAATGTATTATGGATTTTTTTAAATTACCGTTAACGTTAATACAGATGCTGTGGTCATGAAAATTTCTTTTTATTTGGGAAAAAAAAAAAAAAAAAGCCAAGGAAGCCTCGAACAATGAAAATCCTAACATGCAATGTAGTATTCTCTAGACTGTTTTAAAGAGAGGCAGACTGTGATGGTATTAGGCACAACTGTTAATGTGATAAACATATTACCATCTGTGCTGATGCTACCTGGAAAAAACCCTGTTGTTTCCAAATGATCTGATGGTGCCAATATACACTCCTGGGAGCTGTGATAAAGGCTCACATACAAGTTGCAAGAGTATGAGGTGAAGATGACTAATCTCGATTTCCAAAACTGTCTGTAACAACTCCTGGGGAAAAAACAACTCCGAACCCACAACTTGTATCTTCCTGGGACTTGTGTAGCAAAGGCTACAAGTGAAATACCTGTGGATGCTCTTCAGAAATGGCTTTACCTCATCCAGACAGCAGTCCTACTGTGGTAGCTCTGATACAAATTCAGGTTAATGCTACCATTTCCTAGTTGCTGCTACGTAATGGTTTCCTCTTGCAGAGGTGAGTCGCCTTGAAAATTGACCTAAGTGTTAACAGGCTGGATCCAAGCTGTCTTCATGGACACCACCTTTGCCAGCGTTACTAGCTTCTTGGCTGCTCCCAGCAGCAGGCAGCACTTAAACAGCTGCGACTCTCTGTGCAAATTTGGGCTGTGGGTTGTGTATATGTAATACAAACAAAAGACGTGGCGTAGGTGTATTGGAGATAAGTAACTCGAGGGGACAGACTGAGCAGAAGAAGTTATTGAAAGATTTTTCAGTGGCTTTTTTCTGCTAAGATACTGAGACCAGGCTGCTCAGTAGTCCAGTGACTGAGTACACATGCCTTTGTCTTACCCGGGGAAGCAGCCAGTATTTCAAAGTAGATTTGAAACCATTTTCTATAACTGTGGCTATGGAGCATGTGTTGATGATCCAAACAGTTTTTTGAATCTCCGTTCAGGTCATTTAACTGTAAACCTAAGAAAGGTTCCAGTCTCTGGAGCCTGGCTCACCTTTGGCTTCAAACAGCTAACGGCAGAACCATGCTGAAAAACGGTTGATTTGTTTGGCATGCTGTAAAGGAATGCCAAAGGATTGTTAGGAAATAGTTGATTCTGTTGGGATTGCATCCTGCCTCTCACTTAAAGTCTTGGTGATTACTGAGCTAGTAGAAATGTTTCTTTGATTTTCTTCACCACCACCACCCCCCCCTTGTGTAATGTACATACCTTTATCCTTGTACAGAAATTATGAAAGTTGTCGGGGAAGGGAAACACACTTCAATAGAATTTCACTTTCAAAATAATACTAAGTCAGAGCAAAAAACTTAGGTACTAGTAGCCTTAATGTCTTTTTTAACTACTGGTCAAGAGTACAATTTAAAAACATATTATTTGAGTTAATGAAGCAAACTGCTTGAGAATGTTGATGATTATTTGTCTTTAATAATTTGCATTGGATTTTTAGTGTTCAGTAATGTCATGTGATAATATATGTAGTTAGCTGTGAACCTGTGTAAAGTGTTCAGCAGACTAGATTGAAAAGTTTGAAGTCAGTGAAATGGTTCTGGACCAAGCCCAGGAGAGAAATGTGTGCTAAGTCTACAGATGTGTTTCATGCATGTATGTGTTAATAGTAACATGTAGCCTTACTTAAAGTATTGGGTAAAATAACTCAGACTCGGGCTGGGAACAGTGACTCTAAAACCTTCGATCTTTTTCTTTAAAATTTAGCTTACTTCTCATGCCGCAGAAGGAAACCACCCTAATCAACTTCGAGAAGATGCAGTGGCCTCCTTTGCAGATGTGGGATGGGTTGCTCAAGAAGAAGGTGAAGGGTCTACAAGGCTCAGGTATGCTCCTCTAATCTTTTTCAAGAACTCAACTGAGAGGAAGAAACCTAGCTTCTCCCCAGTGAGAATCTCCTGTGCATTGCAAATAAGGGAGAGCACCGGAACGTTGGGGGAAGAGTGATAGGAAAGGCAGGGTCTGGAAAAGGAGTAGTAGAGGTTAGACTAACAGGGTTATGAGTGAAAGACTGGTTTGAGAACACACAGGAGACTGGCTTCGTACAAGGAAGACTGGGGGGGTTTATTTACCTAGTTAGTACAAAGAATTGCACGTGACAGCTTCAAGCAACCGCGTCCCCACAGAAAGGTCTGCTGTGGCACGGCGCAATTCCTAACGCTGACTCTCCAGTTCTCCTGGGATTTTCATTAATATGGGGTGGGGTAGCGTACAGCTTCCTAATTAGCAGCGGTGGTCGTTCTAACAACCCAATAATTGACACCTTTCTGGTTAAGGCTCTGCAGTCTGCTAAAGACAATTTTAAGATTACGGTTTATATTTCGTCTTTAATCTTCGTAACACAAACTGGCAGGGAAGCATGTGAGCACCTGCGTCCGGAACGATGGGCTAGGTGCTGTTGTGTTGGACCAAGGGTACTACATAGCCCTGTAACTGTGTGAAACAGGTTGGCTGAAGTGACAAAGTTCTCTATTCCAGCCTACCCGAATTGCTGCTCAGACTGGCCAGAAACAAAGGTACAGTTCTGTATTGCAGAGGAAGTTTTTCTTCTAAACAAACAAACCTAGGACAGAAAGGCACAGATTGTTGGCTTCAGAGATTACTGGAGGATACCGTCCTTAATTTGAAAGCACAGAATAGGTTAGTAATGACCCAGATGCCCTCCAACATGACTTGCCATAGTGAAAGCTTTGCATAACAAACATTCTGGCACTGCCACATTAATTTCACAAACTCAGAGGGGAGTCACAGAAATCAACGCTTGTTTGGGAAACACTATTTGTAAAGTCTATTTGATGCGCAGGAAATTAACTGGCCGACACTACTTTTGTTTGCACAGAAACGTTTTGTCTAAGGATTGAACTGTAAAGCTATTACGTTTAATGGAGGCAACAGGGAGAATAGCTCTTTGGTGCTTCAAAGAACCTATTATGAAAGATGTAGGACTTGCATATTTGCCGAGACGTCTGCATGGGAAGGGGGGAAGGGGGACAGATGGATGTGGGATGGGACTAAAATAATCCTGCAGATATATAGTGACCTTAAGGCAAACAGCTTATAATGGAGCATGGTAAGTGAATTACTTAGCAAATATGAGTATTTCAGTGTGCACAGTTTATTACGTCTGTGCACAGTATTATGTAGTGGAGCTAGCATGCATTAGGTGTTTTCCAGGCGTTTGAAATTCTCCGTTTCGACAAGATCACATAGACGTTACTGTTAAATATATATTCACTGCATAATTCAGTAAACAGTACTGCAGACAGAGGGGTTTTTTTCTGCAAATGCAGTCGCAGGAAGCAATTAAATGACAAATGGTTTTCCCCTGCCCCTAGCCCGAGCAGTGGTGACGGGTCAGGCATAGTGTTTTTCCACAGTGTTAGATTCCAATCAAGACACTTCCTCAAACACCATCACTGCTCTGAGCTGAAAATACCCTTTGTTTAGCTAGTCTGCTCCTTTAAAGAGTTTCTAGAAGGCAGGTTTTAAAGAGTGGTGACCACTGTCTCTTTCCACCTTCCTGATTTAGGGAAAGCAGGGAGGTGGCTGCTATAGGAAGCGTCCTGTTCTCTTCTCAGCCTTGGCTGCTCTCTATTCCTATCCCGATAACACCACCTAAATTTTAACATCCTTGATAAGATTAAATTCTGCTTGATCAGATTTCTGCGAGTTGTGCTGATGTTTCAGTGTTGTGGAAGATTCAAATGTGTATCTCATCCCAGACTGAGGCGGTCAGAGCACAGGGCTTGTTCTAGCCTTAAATCTTGGCTCTTTTAAGTCTTGCACAACTGCCGATCTAACATGATGTGCATCCAGAGTGATGGGGCTCTTTCTTAAGATGTATTAGTTTGGAGCCATCCTACACGTTTTGAAAAGTCCTATCACTGGCCACTGTTCTTACTCTCATGTTTGAATAAATAACAGAATCCTGACCTGCTGGAGAAGTTTGGGGATCGAAGTTAAGGAGGATTGATATTTTGCAGTTACGCTGATGATAATCTGTTGTCATTAAATCTTTATCGATTCTACTTACAGAATCATAGAATAGTTTGGGTTGGAAGGGACTTTCATCTAGTCTAGCCCCCCGCCTGCGATGAGCAGGGGCATCTTCAGCTGGAAGGGGTTTCTCAGATACTGGAGATAAACCATTTAAAGATGTTGGTGTCCTCAGTGAATCTAACCTTCTGTAAGTGCTTGTCTGACTGCAGCTGTTCAGTCAGGCCTCAGTCTTGAACGTAGCTTGAGCTTTGGCTGGTAATAAAGGGAGGCAACAGAGGTGCATTTTCTTGTTCTTGTGAGAAAGAGGAGGAAAGCTTATGGACTCTTGAAAATTGTATGAAGTTTTCTTCTCTGTAGTTTCATTTATTGTGATAGAAAACTAGATACAAGACCCTTTCCCATTTACTGATAAGCAGCCTGTGTGTCACTAAGCTGTTTAATGTACTCCGTGCTCCCAGCACTGCTAAAATGGAATCTAAAATGTCCCTTCAGAAGTCGAAAAAGTACAAAATCATGCTGTAGAACGAAGAAGCTCCTCCTCCTCCTTCAAAGGAATCAACTGCAAGTGACTACTTGTACCCTATGGGGGAAAAATTGTAGCATTTGGGGGAAAAAAAAAAAAAAATCTTAATTCCAACCAAAAATACAGTAGGTGTGAGGCAGAGAAATAGATTGGGGGTGAGGGGGAATGTATTCCTTTTTCCTCCTGAAATCAAGGATTCCACAAAAAGCTGGCAAAGGGAAGAGAAGAAATACAGCTAGTGATGCAAACAGAAAGGATGTGAAGCTGTTACTTACTTCAAGCTCTGTGATGTCTTGATGGAAGTGATTTGCATAAAGGCAACTTTGAAGTCAGGCTTTCAACTTGTATTCCTGATTTGTATATAATGCTGCTTTAGTTTTTATCTATTACAAAGCCTTTAAAAAAAGAATCTTGTGATATTTTTGTTACAGGTCAGAAGTTTGGTCAAAAGCAGCCCAGCCTTTTCCAGGTGACCTACCTCGTTCTGGAAAGTCCTTGCACAGACAGATGTCCTTACAAAACCCACTGGAAGAACCAATGTCCAGGAGCACGGTGACGGCAAACGAAGAAGCTCTGCAGAAGATCAGTGCTCTAGAAAATGAACTAGCCACTTTAAGAGCACAAATAGCCAAAATTGTAATCTTGCAAGAACAACAGAACCTGACAGGAGGTACTAAATTTGCTGTACTCTTAGCAAAAATGAGTGATAATTAATTTGTCCTTTTAATAACGTGCCAATTCATTTTTGTGAGATACTGCAACACTGAACACTTCTCTGTAATGTTTTGGTTAGTTAGGTAGACAGACGTAGCCTGCTGACCAAGGGGTACAGAACAGGTCTTGAAGACAAGAGACCTGCCAGATTTTCCAGTATTCCAAAAATCTTCATGTTTGTGTGAAAGTCTGCCAGAATTCTGCATCTGTGGATGAGTAAAGTAGTATTAAACAGCTTTCAGAGCAAAGCTCATGATAAACATGATGGCTTAAACCAAACTCAAAGAACATAATTTAATTACTAGCACTTAAGTCTTCCCATCCAGTAATGAAATAGGCTCTCTGATATCATGAAGTAATCATACAAGATGCTAATTATGCCTTTGGAATATGTAACGTACATCTCAAGTTTATGAAATAAATAACAGAAAAGGAGACGAATTGTTTATTGGCATCGTCTCTGGGATCAGACACATTGCCCAGATGGAACCAAAAGCGGTGCACTGTTTCTGGTAGTAGACAGAATAATTCTTCTTTTCCTGAGTTTCATTCTCCTCTTTCCTTCACCTCGGACTGCGCTGCAGCTCCAAGCCTGCTGTCTCCAAAGACCGGTGGGAGGTGGCCCTTGTCAGCGGCACATGACAGCCCTTTGGTTTTCACTCTTCCCTGAGCTCACTTAGCACGTACAGTTTTGCCTGTGTTTACGTATAAAATCATATCCCGATTCTTCAGATGCTCTTGTGTAGTTTTTGTCTGTGAACTGATAGCAGTTCCTTTAGTTTTCCTTAACTGTTCATACTCAAAACTATTGGAATAGTTTGAAGGATCACATGGTTTCACTCTTGAATTGTAATTAATTGGGGGGGGGGGGGGTTGCAGAATAACTGAAAACTTATTTTTCATTGTTTTCCCTTCACCTCCATTGGGAAATTTTGATTTAATTTTATCATCTTTACCTTTACCTCCCTCTTCTGGTAGAACATGGTAAGGACAGTCTGTGTATGCCTACATGTACCCAGCCTAGACTCCTCTGCATTATCTATGTACGTATCTTTACACGCTTTATATTCCAGGCCTCAAAACTCTGGTTTGATCTGGTTTTGCTGGTTTCTCTAAAGGTGCCTTTGAGCAGAGGTTTCTTCATTTATTTGTCAAGTTATTATGGCTGTTAGATTTCTAATATCAGTTTTCACCTAAAGAGTACAGGGAACTGGAAATCATGATTGTCGTGAGGCTCTTTATTTTCAGGCAGATGATTAGCTGGCCTAAAAATCCTTAACCTCAGAGAGCCGGAACAAGCTTCAATGTAAGCGCTGTTTGAGCTCTGAGATGTACATTTAAAATTTTTCGATGGTAATTTACGCATGATGGTAAGTAGGAAGAAACACCGCTCAGACGGCGGATTGAACGCGACTTCCAGTTCAGTACCTGCCTTTCAGAAGAAGGTGAAATACTGGTAAACATTAGGAGCAGAACGTAACTCAGAGAGGTCGTGACGTCCGTCCCGTTGCAGTAAAGACATGATTGCACCTAGAATCTGAACTGGAAATTCAAAGAACACTTCTCGCTCTTCGGGAAGGATTTTTACGGGGCGTTTCGGTTGAGCCTACTTAGGTGGTTGAAGAACGGAGAAGTTGCAGAGTGATCTAAAAAGGGCAGAGGGGAGGCAACTGAAGCTCTCACACCCATGTGCTTTCCTGAGCAGTTGCGAGATATAAAGGGGATTTACACGTAAACTGACCCGCGATGCCTGTTCTGTTTGCAGTTGGGACAAGTCCAGTTGCTTCAGCTGCTGTCCCCGTCGCGCCGCCGCCGCCGCCGCCGCCGCCGCTCCCTCCCCCAGGCCTACAACCGAGTATGTCTGCCATTGAGCTCATTAAAGAAAGGAAAAACAAAAAAACAAACTCTGGCCAGAATTTGCCAGAAAACGGGCCAAAGAAGTCTGAAATACCAAACATGCTAGAAATCCTCAAAGACATGAACAGCGTCAAACTGCGCTCGGTGAAAAGGTAAGAAACAGCAGTATGTTAACGTTTGCCTTGGGGGTTTGGTTTTACGCCTCAGAACTATTTTGAGGGGAGACAGATGCTGATGGAACATCCGACAATGTAAAAGCATTCACAGCTTCTAAAGCTTCGCTTTGGACAATGTTAATGCTGCTTGTTTTCTTTCCTAGATCATCAGAAGGTACAAAATCCAAAGCGGCTGACCCTGCAGATCCTGCAGCATTAATAGCAGAGGCGCTCAAAAAGAAATTTGCTTATCGATACCGAAGTGACAGCTCGAGCGAAACAGAAAAAGTGATGCCAAAGACTGAAACAAAGGCAAAGGCTGAGGTGGTGCTGGTGAGTAGCGGGAGTCTGAACGCAGGCTTGGGCTAAAGGAGAGCTGTCGTGAAAGCCGGCGCGTGTCTTTCTGCCAACAGAGGCCAGTACCTCCAGGGTAGCGTCCCTGTCCACAAACCCCTCTGGAGTCCTCCTGCTCCCCCCAGGACTTGTGGCAATTGTACGTTTTTAGTCTCAAGTCTTAAGATCGTGTACTTCTCAGGCTCTAGGTTTAAAAAGCCCTATTATAGTTTATTCAGTTTGGTTTTTTAAACAAAACTCTTTCCTGTTGCCGCGAGCACGTGGTAGTGCAAGGGCTCATGCCAGAATCAAATCTGAACAGACTTCACCTGTTATTAGCAACCTTAACCGTTCAGACAGTGCAGGTGAAATCTTGAGATGCTGAAACACGTCAGCCCTTCCTAGGAATGCAGAAAGCCAGTCGTTCAGAATGCCTGCTGGATCTTGGCATAGCGAGTTTCCTCTAATAATTGGAAATGCTGAATGAATAAAAGCAGTTTCTTTATAACGTGAGAGCGTTAAACTGAATTATATTTAAAATCCGTATCCTGATAGGAGCTAATGGCTTCTATTTCAGATTGATTTGGGTGTTCAAGGTGCAAGTGTCTAGCAACACACACTTGCTTAAAAAACAGGCTGGTGCAAGATCAGTTTTGTTAGTAAGCAGTCCTTGAAGCCTTGCGCTATCGAACCAGAGAGGCAGAGTAAAGAATGGTTTTTCTCTTTGCGCATTTGGAAAAATACACATAAAACTCCAAAAGCTGGCTGCACTCTGAATTACGTTTGGAGGAAAGTAAGATTCCCGAGCCACAAATCTCGGGACTATCCAAGTACTTCAGCTTATTAATGTTGACTTATTGGCCTTCTGGTTTAGGCCTTTAAGGAGCGTTCGGGCTGTTCTTCATAACTAAAAGGCTTCGTATTCCCCAAGAACCAATCACTTTTCCCCCAGCATTTCTGGGGCTTTAAGGAAAAGAACGAGTGAGTTGACAATGTTTTATTCACACGCGGGTTTTTCAGGAGTTCCCAGTTTTGAAATTTACAGCCCCTCTTTTGAGGTTAAGGATCAAGTCCTCAAAAGCTAAGGGAAGGGAAGGCTTTCACTGGTTAAATGGTAGAACGTCGCTCTGTAATGGTCTACGAACCCCGTCATCGGCTACTTCTCAATAGGTAACTTCTTGCTAGACCAGCCCCCCGCTGATAGCAGGCAAAGGGTACGTCTCTTCAAAGGCCTTGCACACAGCCAGGGTCAGAACAGAAATACCGTTAAACTGCCGCTAGATCCACTGCCTGTCAGCCCCCAAAGCCAAGAGGCCGGGGGCCGTTACTTTGCTGCGGTCGAGTGACGGGGGCGGGGGGGGGCAGCTGCCTCACCCGCCCCACGGCATCGGCCGGTGGCCCGAGCTCCCCTCCCCTCACTCGGTGGCCATGAAGCGGGTGAAACCCACGTGCGGAGAAGCGGGTGGGGTAAGGAAACGGCCTCTGCCCACGTTCCCGTCCTACGTACGGCTCGGAGGGGCGGCGGTTGAAGGCGCTGGAAGCAATCTGAACCTCTTTCTGGTTTCCTTCCCAGTTTGGGCCGCACATGCTGAAGTCTACAGGCAAAATGAAGACTTTAATCGAAAAATCGTAACGCGTTAAGATCGCGGCGCGGAAGGCTGTCGAAGCTGTTTTCTCTGAAGTCTTTTCTGTTGCAAATAGCAATAGTACCCAGCGGTCTCTCACGACACAGGAGAAGCCTAAGAAACGTAGAACTGAGGCCCTAAACACGGCCGTAGGCGATTTCTCGAGGGGAATAAATTTGACCATTCTACTCAGGTATTAATTTTGTAGTCAGACCTGGCTTTCTACTCAAGACTTACCGGGTGGTTTTAGTTTATTAACACTAAAAGTTATACAGGAACATTCTTTGTGCGTAACTGACCACCTTAAAAATTCGTGTGCGTGTTAGTGATGAGAGCGACACACCCTTAACTTAATATCACTTATTTGAGCTCTAGCTACAACTTGCACTACAACATTTAGTTTGATACTGAATTTTTCATGTCAAAGTCTTTCTTTTAAACTTTAGTAAATTTTTAGCCCAAAGAAAACCTGAATGCATTTTACTTCTTACTGAACGAGTGTGAAAACCTCAGCAGGCTGCACAGGTCACCTGCTATGAGACATTTTTAGTAGTAGCACATTTTTGTGCGGGGTTTTGTTTTGGGGGTTTGTTTTTTTGTTTTTTTTTTTTTTTTTTTTTGTTTGTTTGGTTTTTTTTTTTTGGGTTTTTTTTTTTTGGTTTTCAAATGAGCTTGCAAGGGTAAGAGAGCAAAACCTTCGTGTATCATCCTGTGGCCAACGCAAAAAGTGCACGACAAGTGAGTAAATCATGCTGTGGGGGCCTCTGTGAATAGGTAGTCCAATAAATCTAAAATAAACCAGTAGATAGCAGCAGAGTGAAAGAAATGATGTAAGAGCAGGTGTTAACTAGCATAGAAGCAGTGCAGGTAAGAAAGGAAGGTACAAAGTACTGTGGGGTTGCCAGTTGCCAAAAGTATATTGTGTGGAGAGATGCTTGGGGACACCTTTTTATCCCCAGCTGCCTTGGGTCCCTGGAGAGGTTTCCAGCAGCTGGGGGCCGCCCAAGCCCCCCCTGGTCCCTGTTTGCAGGGAAGAGAGGGTGTAAGCTCTCGCCCGTAAGGGGCCTCCCAGGGGAAGCCCCTTTTGGGGAGTTCCCCCGGCAGCAATTTGCTGCCAGACCTGTAGAGAGCTAGTCCGTTAACCAGCTACCTGAGCTCCTGTCTCCAGGCTCAGATGGAGAAAGGGCTCATGCTGCCAGGAAGATTCAGGTTGAAAAAAGCTGCTTAGGAACCAGAGAGCTACGACTTAGCTGCACCCTTAAAGGAAGCCAAGGTTTGCTCTGACTGTAGATGAGCAGGGAAAAAGTTGTGTCTGGGTATTCCAGTGTTCTAAGGTGCTCTGGCTACTGGAACAAATACAAGTGCCCCTTGGAGCTTCCGTTTCCTGGGAAAATTAAAAAAAAAAGAGAGCACTTCTTAAGTAAAGACAGCTGAGTGGCTCTGATGCGGTTACTGACGATGACTGAGGCTTTGCTGCTTGTAACTGGACTGTAGATGGTACAGTCGAGGGGGATGTTTTCTGGTAAATGGTGCTCGTTTGTACACCACGTGGCTTCCTTCCACACGCTCTGCCATCAGTCTTACTGACAGGCCCTTAAACCCCCGCTCTTTTAAATGCCTTTAAAACACCTTTTTGAAAGTTAAATTTGGTTTCAAGTTTTGTATTTAATGCTCTATTGCCTCTATATAAAATTAAAAGCAGTTAAAATAAACGCTGCCTATGTGATTTGTGGTACTCGTACGAACGACAGCAGCCAGATAGCAACCACAGCAAAGTATGGTTTACCTTCTACTACAGTGACTATAAATCAACGTGGTGACAACTCACCCACGTCTCCCTCCGGACTGGACCACTTACCTTGCCGTGCAGCAGGAGTCACTGTAGAATCAGTCGTGGAAGAGCACAGCGCCGGTTAATTCAGTTAAATTCAGATTTCCAAAAAAAAAAAAAAACCAAACCCAAAGCAAAACGATCAGGAACCAGGGAGGAGTTCATGCATCACCACAAACAGACCAGGAGGTGCCTGTTTAACAGCCCCTCCACCCCCCGGAGCCCGGGGCTCTCCTGACCATCCCTCGGTGTGGCACAACCTCCCCCCTCCCCGAAGGGCCGCAGCCTGGGAACAGCTGGCCCAGGAAAGCTCTGAGGAAGCCCCTTTGCCTTCTTCCCGAGGCAAACACACACCTTTGCTGGACGTGTTTTGACTTAACGTTACTGTGAAGGTCAGAGTTCAAATGAAGTAACTCACTTAAACCATTAACTTGTAACAATTAGGGTATTACTTGACCTACTAAACCAGTCTAAAACATGAGAAAAACCCGCCCCAAGCACCCTGTCGGTTTGAGCTGGTGAGGGGAGGCGCAGGTATCCGCCACCCCAGACAAAACCACGTGGCAAGCCGCCTTAGTGACGTGAAGTTACCGTAAAAGAAGCGACACCTGCACGAGCAAATGAAACCACCGAGCTGCCATCGACTCACGTTCATTTCGTCCTTTTCTGCGCCGTGATTGGTACCGTGCTGCTTGCCAACCTTCCGCGTACACAACAGCGCCCCTGCCCCCAGAAAAACCACCTCGAGCAGGAGCCGGCAAGCGAAAGGGCGTTCAGGCGCAGCGGGCGGGGACCTGGGGCACAACCCCCGGCCCGTTTGTACCCGCCTGCAAAGGCGAGTGACCAGAGTGGCCCCCCGGGAGCAGAGCCCCGGACCCGAACCCTTTCTGGGGGGGGGCCTGGCCCCCACCCCCCAACTGGACTCGCACGAGGTCCTGGCTCTCACGGGAAGTTCCACGCAGGTTTGTAGAGGGCCCTTCTAGACAACATAGTCAGGGAAAAATCACCATTTTTTTTGTTTGGTGCTGCTTGTTGGGTTTTTGGTTTTTTTTTTTTTTTGGTTGGTTGGTTTTAAAGTTCGGTCAAATGTCAGAAGCTTCCACCCACGCTCACAGATGGGATTAGAAGCAGGCTTCCTAAAGCCAGTCTGGTAGGAAAAGGCAGGAGGTCTTTTCCAGGAAAGGTGGCTTAGAGCAAAACTACTCCCGTGTCACTCCAGCACCTTGACAAGCCGCACTGATTCCTGTCGGAGCGGGTGACAGCAAGATTGCACGGTGTTAAAAGAATCACAGGTTGTTTAGAAGTATCCCGTTGAAATTTTACTCTATACATATCTGTAAAGTCTTTAATTTACTTTCATTAAAATTACATATGGAAGTATGCTTATAAATAGCCTGCAACAAGTTCCAAATTTTATGTTGCTGTCCAGGCCCTGCCTAAACCAAGTCATATTTAAAAAAAAAAAAAAAACAAAAAAAAAAAAACACAACATGAGTCACAGAAGACATCATCAGATCCGGATTGTAGTGGTGGTTTTGAAAATAGCCAGGGGCTTGGCCTGCGTGCTACTCAAAACCGAAGAGAAATCCGTACTTTCCCACACTTAACCCTACGAACCCGTACGGGAAGCTTAGCTGCCGCCTCTCTGTAGCAAGTTACTCCCCCCCAGCCGTTACCTCTTCGTTCCTTCGGCTCCAAACACGGTGGGCGAGTGTCCCCCCCCTTCCAAAGGCGACCTGTGAGGACAAGGCTTTTCTGGTACTGCAAGTTAGAAGCAAAGCTCGCGACCCCGTCCGATCCTTCGCCGTCGAAGCCGGACGGCAGCAAGAACTCGCACTGACAGCAAAGGAAGGAAGTTCACGCAGGGTCAACAAAATGGTTTCATTACAAATTTATTTCTTTAAACATGGCCACTTTGAGAGTAACGATACTACTTCAGGGAACATGAAAGAAGAATAAACAACGTAATTTTAGAAGGGAAACGATCCGGTAAGTCGGGATTTGCTGTTCAAACAGTAAAAGGCCAAGCTCCAAGAGGCAAAAAAATTTGTCACGTGAGGACTAGTATCTTCAAATCCAAAAGTCGGGTTAGTTTTACAGTGGAAGCTGACTGCAACCTTGGCTACCTTTCCGTAATGCTGGACTCGGTCGTAACTTAAATGTACAGGAGCATAATGTGAAAAGAACTTTTTTTTATTAAATAAAAGTTAACAGCAACAGGCACATATTAAAATGAATATGGCAAAGCCTTTACAAATGGCTTTACGCTGAAGCTCTCTCCCAAAAATGGCTGTTGCAACAAACTGTAAACAGAATTAATAAACAGTCTTTTACAATAATAACAGGGAAATACAAATGAACTAAAAGAAAGCACCAGTTTCTCAAACTAGATTACAGTTGTGCTTACTGTACTTAAAACAATGTAAAACAAATTACAAAAATGGAATGTTTTAAGTTTAAAATTAGTCCTTTAATTTTGTCCTAAAAAAGGTTTTCTCCTTTTCCCATCAAAACCCCATTAGTGGGTAATGTTTCAGTAGAGGGAGGAATACGTAAACAATGCACTTCTTTTTAATTATTATTTTTCAAATCAAAAACAAATTTGGTCACTTAGCTTTGTGCATAGTTTAAGGCATCTGTAGCAATTTGTTACAGTTTCCTCCCCAATGTGGCTGTTCATGAAATTGTCACATTCTAAAAGAATAAATTAAAAAAAAAAAAAAAAAAAAGAAAAAAAAGAAAAAAAAAAAAAAAAGAAAAAAATGTTGCCGTTCAAACCCTTCCCGGTACCCCCCCGCCCTCCCCCGTCCCAGACATACTCACACACCCACACACCCACACACGCTGCAGCGAAAGGGGCATTTGTACCCTTGTTCTGAAGGACACGCTTCCCATCCCACTTTATTTCAGATTGGCAAATACCCTGAGCTGATTATGGTGTTTAGACATTCCACCTTGTTCTTGCATGTGCAGTTCAAGTGTACAACGGTGAAAACAACATGCGATGTTTCCACTGCGGAATCGCAATGCAGTTCGGACGCTTATCCCCCCCCCCTCCACCCCCCCCTCCCGCCCCCCCCCCCCCCCCGCCCCTTCCCAAACTCAGAAGTGTTTTCTGCTGTTAAAAAATTGCATTCCCATATAGCACTGGAGTAAAGCTTGGCTGTGCTCTATGATGAATGCTCAGTTCCCAGTGCACAAAACAAAATTATGGCGAATGGGAGGCTTTTCTGGCATCCAAAGAAACAAGAGCTGCAGTCTCAGATTTGATCTTTTTCTTTTAAAAAAAGCAAAAAAAAAAAAAAAAAACAAAAACCAAAAAAACCCCAAGTTAGTGGTTCCTTCACAGCCATGCGCAAAGGTAAGTCT